TAAAAATGTACCTAAAATACAAAAGAAACCTATGTACTCATTTACATAACCAACTATTCAGTATAATATAGTACATTAGGTATATTGTATTATAATTATCGATGCATTTTGAGTATTTATCACTTGCATTTAGTACTGCCCATTTATAAATACTGCTGTATATAAATACTTGCTTGTGAATTTCACCAAGGGATCAATAACTTTTTATCTTACACTGTAATAATACACTAAAAACTTGTTGGACATTCAATTGTTTCTTTTATAAATCATCTATCGGGATAGATGTTTAAACTAAAAGGAGGAAATTACATTTCTGTAAAGTAAAATAACTCAATATTGTATTTAAAATGTTCTTAGTATTGTCCACCACAGGGCACACTCTTTTAGGTAGATCATAAAGGAGAAAGCATGTACTCCTATGTATTTCAAAGGCTTGTTCGCTGATGTAAATTGACAAAAAAAGAGGTGGATAGAGGCTACTCAGTATACCTGCATATACTCTCCACTCCACCACTTCTGAAAGCTTTTCTTCACACTTCAGGGAACACTGATAAATGTCCTGAAACATGGACATGTCACATTGTATGAGAACCAGATGACCCCTGTAACTGAACGCTTAAACCTTAATTGAGTTATGATGCTTTGGACATAACTTTGGGTAATTGCAGCAAAAACAAAGATGAGAGAAGTCATTTGAGAACCAAATCCTGGCATGTAAAAGTTTAACTTAACGTTAAGCCTCATGTTTTTTTCCCATTTTGTCAAAATAGATTAACCAGATCATTTCATTTTTTAAATTTGTATTTTCAGAATTCAAAGTATTAGTCACACTCCGATTGTTGTTTCAAAATGTTATCTGACCTGACGTTTACTCACCACAAAACGTTATTGTATTTACAGTAAGAAGGACATGACAGCATCTTATTTCACGTCCATATTAATTGTATGTTTTGTGATATAGCAAAAGATTTATGAAATGTACGCTTGACTTGTCAAATCAACTGCCAGCAAATACATCTGGTTTCAGTTGACCAAACCATGAATGCAATTACATAACTAACAATGTATGGTTGAAGAAACAAATATAAGTATTTTAAAGAACAAATACTTTTCTAATGGATGCCTATGGGAAATATAGCTTTGTGCGATACAAAAAATGTATCCACAGTACCTGGAACTTTGATGTTGGCCTTCCATCTGTGGTTGTTCGCCCGAGTGTAAAACTCCACGTATCCTCCAAAGTGATTGGTGTAGACCGAGAAGCCATTAGAGATAACTTTCCCCCCAGACGATATAGCAAAACGGGACTCAGACTCGTGGTTTTTCCAGAAAAAGGAGAAGGTAATCCCTAGAGAGAATTAAGAATAGTCATAATCAATACCTTAGAGCGCTCAAAAATGTGCTGAAAATAAATAGTTTTGCGAAAGTATCATGTGCGTAGACAACAGTGCACTCACCCTCAGGACCACACCAAGAAGGGTCACTGATACAAGAGTTCTGGTATTTTCCAAAGTGGAGAAACGTACCGCCATTATCTCCATTTAGAAAGATGCCCTTATTGACCATTCCTTCAACAATGTCTGCAGCAGAGCACAAATGAAGGACATTATTTTTGCTTGAAAGTTACGAGCAGTGTCTGCTAGCCAGGGTTTCTACTTGATTGCCAAAAGGTTCCAGATGTTCAGTTGTATGTTCATCCAACAAATCATATACAAAGTCCTTTTATGGTCAACTAATCATAAATTGTTTTAATGCAAATAATGAACATGACGGTTTTATGGCTTTCTGGGTATCTCATAACATAATACAAAGTCTTTTTGTTAATAATATATAATGTGTTGCAACTCTGGTTTAACAAAACTTATGAACAATGACAAATAATGAAAAGGCCAATCATATCTAATGTCATGCTGCACGGACAAAACACGGAACAAGGTGAAATGTGTGAAACGCTGTGTAGATGCAGAGAGAACAACAGGGAGTGGGTGGGTGGTGCAAAAATGAATTTCAGAGAGCGGAAAGTGATTGATCCTCACCTACTGTTGCAGAAATGTTAGTGTAGGCAGAGTCATTGGTATACACATAGGAAGAGTTATGGGAGGAGGGGAGCACAGTGTGGTTGTGGATTCTGAGAGCTGGACAAAGACAATGGAGAGAAACAGTGATTCACACCTAGACAGACACATAACAGAAGACAGTGAGAGGAGGACAGCAGGAGGGACGTGGTGCGCAGGTATAAGACGGAGTGATGCTGAGCTGAGTGCACAGTGGCAAAGAGGTTTGGCTCTTGTCCTCTTTACTTGAGGACTTTCCTTAACTCAGTGTGACTCCACACATCAAACTCAAGTCTATACCTGATCCCTCTACAACTTTAAAAATGTTTATGAAAACTTGCAATGACTTTAGTGACAACAAGGCTGCAAACTCAATACATGTGGAAGAATGTGTAGCTCTTATATGCAGATATATCCCCTACATTTTGTAGTTAAGTATTGCAGCACTTCAAATAATAATACTCAACACGCCAGGTATTTTTGTTCTATAATAATAAAGCTGCCATACAATATAAACACTCTGAACACACACTAAAAAAAGCATAATGGATGTGGCTGGAAGGTAGGTGGAGAAAAACTGCTCAGACCATGCAGAGTGCAAGACATTTAGGTGTTGCATTCCCACAAGTATACACAGTCTGTTTATGTATGCACATACTTATGTTACTCCCGTTAACATAACCTGGTCTGTTTCCAATCTTGTCCCACAGCTCATGGATTCCGTCCACAGCATCGAGAGGCCAATAATGAGAAGCCGTGGCCAACACCTGCAGGCCTGCACGGAGAGCACACGGGTAAACAAGCATCCAGAAAGGGCTTTCCCCCAATCAAGCTCTGTCCCATTACTCAAAATCTTTTTTCCTGGCATTCCATTTGGAGTTTGGGGGGGATTAAAAGATTGATAATAATGAACGCAACAGCTGTAAAAGATATGTGACAGTACTCTGTTAATGAGGGCAGTGAACAAATCAAAAACATTCTCATTGGCAGTGAGCAGAAAGTAAAAAACATTTACAGTGTGTATTTCTGTTTCAATACATAGCTGTACAATGTCACCTTATTTCAACTTGGAAAGTTAAAACAGTATGGAAAAAGATAATCAATCACACCATCACTCATACAGAATGAATTACTACCTGGATGCTTCACAGGTAGAACCACTTGAGCATAAACCTGTAAAGAAATCAGATGTACTTTTAAAGTTGGCTATACAACAATGACAGCCAAGTATTTCATATTCAACAAGACAAGAACATTATATTTATCTCCCGAATTATCACAAACTATGCCATAAAATACAAAGGATCTTCACTTTGGAATACCAGTCAATCACTGTCAGTATATACGCTTAATATGAAGAAACACCGGGGCTCAGTATGTCTTTTGGTATTTCTTTATGAATGTAAGATTGTTATATTTATGAATATATTACTGTTAATTCATTTTTTACCTTTATTTATTTACCTCATAGTGCTAAGATAAAATCTATCTACAGCATTAGGATGAATTGCAACCTCTTTAGGACAGGTTTTACAGTAAGCCTATCCTGCTTTTTATACTTTGTCTTAGTAAACTACACTGAAATAAGCATAATATTAAAGGGTTTAGTCAACATGCATTGTATGTGTTTAATTTCTTACCTTAATAAAGGAGAGAAAATATGTAAAAAGATGAATTTGCACAGATAATTCCATAGCTTTTGAAAAATGCGTTATAAATCTACAGTCTTTAAAAAGATAAAAGTTAAAAAGAAAACAGCGACCACTGTTAAATCCCCAAATAAAGATGATTCCGGGAGGAGTCAATCATTATTCCAAGATGTGAAAAACTTCTGATCAGTCCATGTGTCCAAACTTAGAAATATAGATACATAACAAAAACAGAAGTATAATAAAAAATATATTCAATTCAGTGTTCTGGCATGAGGCAAAACAACTTTAGAAGCTTTCCTTTCATGATAGAAAATGTAACACCCTGTTCCTCTTCCAAGCAAAACCGTAATCCGTGATCTTTATCCCTACAGTGAACTACTTTGAGAGTTTCTGTGGCTGATCTGGATATGGCAAGGAGCGGAGAAGCTCCGGACTGGCTTGTTGTACTGAACGTGGGAATTGCAAAGCGTGATGTAGTTGTTCGATCTTCTGAGGAGGGGCGTTGGAACAGTGCGCAAATGGCCTTACTTGTGCGTAATTGGATATTTCGCGGGGAATCAATGAGATCAGGATTGGCACTGTGCGATACAAATTCTGTTTGGGTTAAGAAAAAAACGTATTAATATTTGGTCTTGTGACATTTAGGACATTATAGGACAACACCCAACAACAGAACCAGTCATCGAGGGGGAAACAATATCTGCGAAAGACATTTTAACTTTGTATGAGTGACCTGAAGGGTTTGGTGAATTACATTTCAACTAGTCAAATATGTATTCATTAACATACCGTACTTTACAATATAATAACCTGCACACAAATCAAGAGAATTCTAAAGTGTTAAATGACATTTCAGTCATACTTCGTCTTTTTTAAATTAGTTACTTTTAGTTTGTGAACCTTTTGGAGGACATCCACAGGTGGGGGAGTCATCATTACCACCAGTCTGCCAACTTTCATACATATCAAGGTAAACAGCACCACCCTGTGGCTGAAGGACAACAAGTTAAGTAACCACCCAGCTCTGCTTATCAATTATTTATTAATCCTTCTCGTAAAACTTCCTGGTGATGTGTTGGCTGTTCAAATAATATTCAACATCTGATGAAAATCTTATAGCCTACTTAAGCGTAGTTTTTCTTAATGAAGAGAGAGAGAGAGAGAGAGAGAGAGAGAGAGAGAGAGAGAGAGAGAGAGAGAGAGAGAGAGAGAGAGAGAGAGAGAGAGAGAGAGAGAGAGAGAGAGAGAGAGAGAGAGAGAGAGAGGCGGATCCCACGGAAGGAGATACCTTGGATCTGTTACAGGCGCTTGTTCGTTGAGACATATCGACATAGAGTAAACCCGAAACACATTCGCTTTGGACTTTTATTTTGTTGAACTTTAAGTGTTTCGAGCTGTATTTTGGATCCCGTTTTTCTGAATCCAAACTTTTTTCCTCTTCTTTTATCTCTGAGGTTAATAACGCGGTTAAAGTAGGCCTACGCATCTCAATTCGACCATCTTGACCTCCGTGCACAGTTAGGTGTCTCAGTGTTACTCCACACATGGAGAATTACAGGATGATAGTGGAGTTTAACTAGAATTACCCTGGCAGGAGACGAGGTGATCGTTGTGATGAAGGATAGACTGGCTGAGCTGACTGCTGTGAGTGTATTTTCTTGCTTAACACCTTGACAGGTAAAACACCCAGCATTAAAAGTCAGTCACACATTGTTCCCATACAGAGTAGGACACCAGGAGAGGAGGATGTTGCAGTGGCAGTGGAAAGAGATGGCTTCATGGAGAGTTTCTTCAGAAGGGTGGGTTTCAATGCAACTTCCTGGATGTGTGCACAGGTTGGACTCAAGATACTGATGTGTTATTTATGCATTAAGGTGGAAGAAGTCAGAGGACTCATTTATAAGATTTCCTATCAAGTGGAAGAGGTGAGGAAGATGCACAGCATGATCCTGACTGCACCCAACCCTCATGACAGTAAGTGTGTGATTTTATAAAGCAATAGCAAGGAGACAGAAGGCGTTTGAATTTAAATGTTGATATTTTAAGTGTTCATGGTGAGGGAAGCATCAAGTGAACAGCTTGGCTGGAGTTTGACTTTTGAGGCACAGAGGGAGAAAATCACTTCCTTTGTTACATTTTCCTCCTCATTGTAAATGAATGGCTGCTTGGGCCGGAAACCTGTGAAGGACACAGCATCGTTATGCCACAAAAACTCACAGACCATTGTGTTATGGGCTCTGAATGATTCTATCAGCAACAACTCAGGGATTCAAACATTCTGTGTTTTGCAGATGTTTATTTTCTAAATAAGATCCAGATTAAAAGTATTTATAATGGTTTAAAGCAGAGGTTAAGGAAGTGTTTTTAGCAAAAGCACAAATATATTAGCATCTACATATACACAAAGTACACAGGATGCAGAATGGTTGTTTTTAAAATAAAGTAATTATATCACTGGATTATAACTAGTGATCTTTTAATGTGCTAACTCGTTTTAAATTGCAACCTGGCAAAGGTTTAACTTTTTTAATTTTAAGGACTTTTAATACTGCCATGTGCCGTAATCCCAAACAGAACATCCTAATTCACGTGTTGATTTATATTTTGTATGTATCATTTCTGGCTAGTAGAAGAATAAAGTAGCATAAAATGGAAATACTAATATTCGTGAGGTTCTTACTGAAGTATAGCGCTTGACTAAATGTACTTGGTTACTTTCCTCTACTGTATATTAGCGGGAGCATTGTTACTACTGGTTGTAATCAGGTCCTGGCTCTGTTCAGTGTGTAAGCCTGAGGACTCTGCAATACAAAGAGCCAGTTTACAGTGCCATGGCATCATCAGTGATTATGCTTAATGTAACACAGTGCAACATTTAACATCCATGACGTGGAAATGGCCTCCAGGGAAAGAAACAAAGAGCTAGTGCTTTGTTCTGTTGTGTGACCTCTGCAATATTGCCACAGCGTTGTTGCCAAGTTACCAGATGAAATCACATTAAAACCAATATTTACAGGACAGTGAGGAACAGCTAGATGACATGACTTTTCCAAATCACAAAACCAAGTCTGACGTGTTTCCCTTTTGTTTTCATGTGAAGGAACAAAGGACCAACTGGATGCTCTGACCAACGATATCAAAGGGAACGCCAACGTGGTGCGGACTAAACTAAAATGTGAGTTGATCAATGACGCACTTGTCACGCTTGTTTATTGACTACACCTCACAAGCTGATGCCATCTGCTGTTGTGTAATGCATCATCACTCTCACTCTGCAGCCATGGAGCAAAGTATGCCTAAAGATGATGCAGCTAACAGATCCACTGTTGACTTTAGGATCCAGAAAACACAGGTCAGGAAACGGATTGAAAGGACAAATCCACACGAGCACACATATATCATGTCTTCCTCATACACAAGCCGTCTGTCAGTTGGACACACACATCAGGAGGGACATATTTTTGGATAGATGTATCCACAGTAAACACAAATAAGGAATATTATAATGATTTACTGTGAAAATCCTAAATGTACTGCACCATTCAATGTTTTACAGCATGTGCTATAAATCGCCAATATATGTATTTAGTTTGAGTGTACATTTGAACATAGCAAAGTAGTAAATGTCGTTAAAGTTCCCTTTAAAATAAATTCCAGCAATTAACAAGAGTGCTTTCTGAGGTATTACGTTTGAAAACACTACAGTCTGACATCTTCACATTCCTGTTGTTGTGTTTTGACTTGTCTTCAGCACACAGTTCTGTCCAGGAAGTTTGTGGAGGTCATGACCCAGTACAATGAGACTCAAGTGTCCTTTCGGGAAAGAAGCAAAGGAAGGATCCAGAGACAGCTGGAGATAAGTAAGTGAAACATAATGTACTCCCTATGAGGCCAGGAACTTTGGACTATATTTTGAAGAAAATACTCCCTTTTTGAACACTTCAATGGCTTGAATTTGCTAGATAAAAGAGTGACATAAGAATTGGAACAGGATCCAGGAAACAGACAGATCCCGTTTCCTATCTAGTTCTCTGGACACACTTTTGATGAACAGGCACCAGCAGCTGGGTGGGATATTTTCCTTTTTTGTTTCTTTGAGAAATAAGCTCTGTTTTACACAATGCAAAGTAACAATTTATCATATCCAAATTCCAGATTCTCAATATGTGGTAGTAGTAGTTGTAATAGTAGAATTGATTACAGAATCCAATAGAGCAACAACCAGTTCCAAAAAGAGACAATAGTGAAAGGCAAAAAATAGTATTGTCTCTCCCAGTCCCTGCGGCCGGCATTAATGAGAGGCTCCAGTTCTCTCGCTGCAGACGAAAGAGCCTGATACTGGAGACGCCTCGTTGTGTTTGCGTTGCCAGGGAAACGGGCAGAGGGCGCAGCGGCCAGTGAAACAGTAGTCACGACCACATGAACCTCGGGCCTACTATTGTGGACTTACACTCTTCATTGACACCTTTCAGAAGTTATACTTCTTAGCTGGATTTGTAATGGTGGTGGGTTTTGCTGTGTTTGGCTCCGTCTCTCTGAGGAGTAGCCATTGAAACAGGTGTGTGACATACAGTACGCACCTGCACAGAGGTCTGTCTCTCCAGGGATGGGGTGGTACAACAGGAGACTCGGCTCCAGGAAAAGAAAGCTTTCTGTTTATAGAGTTTCAGCAGCTGTTTCTCTGTGAGGGCTGCACACTTCCTTTGTTCCTCAGACACTTCTAATCTTAGTCACAAAACAACACTTTACTGCAAATAAACGGAAAACAGCAGGAGCTACCAACAAATAAACACGTAATTATCACAATTAGCAATCTACTGATAAATGGGTTGTTAACAACTGTGGATATTTGTAGTTTAAATTCAGCATGTTTTTTTTAGTTCGATGGCTCCCAACCATTTTCCTTAATGGACCCCTTTTTCTAGCATTGAGTAACCTGACGATTTATGACAAGTGACACATTTTATGGTTATTTCATATTACATTGAATGCATATAAAAAAAGAATGGCAAAGAAACTGATAAACTGTACAATTAAATCAAGTATACAATTTGAACAGATAATTTCCTGTGAATGTTGCATCCGAAATCATTTTTCCTCAGATCTTTAGTAAAATTTCTTACAAATCCGTTCTGGATTATATTTTTTTAATATAATATAATTCAATAATATATATTTAATACGCTTTTTTTATTTTCTAAAATTAAATTCTGTGATTCTTTTTAGTTGAGAGGCTATGCGTATATAACAGAGAACAACACAAAGTTGTCTTATACCCCTTAAAATCTGAATATCTCACAACTGCTCAGTGCTCCAACACATTACGTATAAACAGCAGGTACAGTAGGTTGGTTTATTGTTGGATAATCATTGATGTTTTTTTAAATAATTTTAGCTGGAAAAGCCACCACCAATGAAGAACTAGAAGCCATGTTAGAAAGTGGAAATCCATCAATCTTCACATCTGATGTAAGTTGTATCATGCCTTACTGAGCAGAATATTGTTATTGCAGGGTTTAAAGCTTCACAGTCTATGGTTAAAATATGGTACTGCCATCTGGTGGTGGTTGATGTGTAAATCATTTGGGGTGGGGTAATGTGTTACCAGGCCTTTTCTTTTTTACAGTACAGCTGGGAACATGTGATTGTGATCAATAAAAGTCCTTCTTCTTCTTCTTCTTCTTCTTCTTCTTCTTCTTCTTCTTCTTCTTCTTCTTCTTCTTCTTCTCTTCTTCTTCTTCTTCTTCTTCTTCTTCTTCTTCTTCTTCTTCTTCTTCTTCTTCTTCTTCTTCTTCTTCTTCTTCTTCTTCTTCTTCTTCTTCTTCTTCTTCTTCTTCTTCTTCTTCTTGGTGTTTTGAGATGAGGTTTTTCACCTTGTGTCTCTTTGTCTCTCCCTCAGATAATTTCTGATTCCCAGATAACACGTCAGGCACTAAATGAGATAGAGTCACGACACCAGGACATCATGCGCCTGGAGACGAGCATCAGAGAGCTGCATACAATGTTTATGGACATGGCAATGCTGGTAGAAACTCAGGTAATGGCTAAATGGAAAGGTTCGTAGGTAAAAGCCTTTATATCAAAAAGAAAAATAGTCTTATTAGTTTAATTGTATCTACTTAGTGATACTTCCTCACATCTGACAGGTGCGCTAATATAGGTATCCTTTATGTTTCTTTACGGATACTATCAACATAAAATCGAATATGAGATGCACAAAATAAAAGCATTTTGATCCTGTCATTTACAGGGGGATATGATTAACAACATTGAAAATAATGTCTCGAATGCAGTGGAATACATATGTAGCGCAAAGGAAGAGACCAAAAAAGCAGTGAGATACCAGCAAAAATCTCGGAGGGTATGTGTTTCTTTCATATATTTCATACATACCATTTTTGAAGTTAAATTGAGTAAGTGTGAATTATACAATGTTTAAAGTCACATGTCATAACTTAAAACTACCCTATGATTCTGTAAAGCCTTTTTATTGCTACCAAACTTTTCAATTAATTGAAGTTCAAATAACACCCTCCTCTTCACTTGGCAGAAATACATTATCCTGGCCTTTGCTCTGTTGACCCTGCTTGCTGTTATTGCACTAATTGTGGGCCTGTCTGTCGGACTAACCAAACCTCCTGTATGAGAACGACTTTGTGAGGTAACATATCATCCATAACTTCTATTCCTTAAACACATCATTCATCCATCAACCCATATATACTTTAATTAATTAATTAATTAATTCAGCTGCTTAATAGTTTAAAGGATTTGTAACACAGTTCTCACTCCTCGTTACTTCTCCTTTTGACAGAAACGTCTCGGCCTGGCCATGTGTGGGGGCGTCGCAGGTTTCCTCCTTTTACTCATAATAGTTGGAATCTTTGAGTGATGGACTTCCTGAATCACACCCTGACGGCAGTCAGCTGTAGTCAGCTTGTGTTGAGATTTAACAGCTTCATAATAAGTCACCCCCTATCCAACAGCTTTACAGAGAGGATCTTGTATAATGTTGGGGATCGACTTTGCACCAGTAATAGCAGACCGCATAATACAATGTTCTGGAGCAATACTATATATCTAGAATAAAGCATCCTGTGAGCACACAGCCCTTTTTCTTAGCTGGACGGCTGCACTATATGAGCAAGATATGCAATATGCAATAACATTGTTGAATATTGCAATACTGATAAAACTTGCAATAAGAAAAGTTATATGAAAGATTACGTATTTCTTCCTTTTTTTTTGCTTTCAAACACAACAACGAGGAAATTATGTCCAACACTTTTTTATGAAAGTGAAGACAAAAGGGACACAAAAAAGATAGTTTCAGAAAGAATTCAATAATGCAGTCTTTTGCAATATGTATCAACAAGTTAATATTGCAATGATTATTAAAACATTCACACTGTATAAATCTTAACTCAACACTTCTTGGTCTAATGACTTTAAAATGGCTTTGAATCACATTACATTTTTTGTAAATAAGCTTATTTGCCTTCTTGCCCAGAGTTAGATGAAAATATTTATACCACTCATGTCTGTACAGTAAATATGAAGATATCACTAGCAGCCCGATAGCTTAGCTTGAAGACTTGAAACAGAAGCAAGCCTGGCTCAGCCAAAAGTAACAAATGTGGCATGAGGGTTTACAGGGGGTTATGTGCCAACATATTTCTTGGCCTGGCGCAGTGACTTCATGTTGTCATTGTTAGGTTGCAAGGCAACTAGCATAGGCTCCATTAAGTCACTTCTCCTGGAACATAGCCCCTCGTAAAAAACATAATCTGTCACTTTTACACTTCTGTTTGTGTGCAGATTAAACAAACAAGATATACTGTGGCAGCTTGTTAGCCCTGCAGATGAGGTTAGCTGATTTGGTTTACAATAGAAAGAGCCAGGGTAGCTGTTTACTTTCGCTCTCATTCTTTGTGCTAAGCTAAAGTAACCAGCTGGCAGCAGACTCACTTTTATCATATTGAAATGATAGAGATCTCATATTTTTCTTGACGAGAAATGTTTTGTACATGGCTAGCATCTTCTTAATATGAAAAAATATATTACGACAATTGTCTGTGTAAATTGATTGTATAATTTCAGTTTACATTTTCAAGTCTACTCGTGTTATCCTGTCCTCATGTGTATTTACTGTAATTTATGTGAATCGAATGTCAATCTACTACAGCTCAGGAGTCCCTTAGAAAAATAAAATAGTAACCTTAATTTATAGAATATATATTTATCATGCTTTCATGACTGAAATATAATTTGCGAAAAAAGTCATGCTGCAACGTAGGACTCTTGGATTATGTTATTTTAAGAGCACACATTTTCATTTTGTATCATTATTTTGTATTTGTCTATTTATATCTTGTATTTTATATTGAAACTGAATGATGAAGTCATGCAATACAAATATAAAGACACAAAATATTTTCAGTCTATTGTGTATTTATTTCGTTTTATATCAAAAGGTGAAAAAGTGTGTTAGTTATAAATACAGAAGCACTTTTAAATCGCTAAAACATCTCAGTTAGTCAGACAGAATTAAAGTTACTTTTAAGTTTTTCAAACATTTGGAGGTTTGGTTTGTTTAGAGGAAAACAGAAATAAGCTGAGGATGCCGTTTACTTCAGGACTAATAAGCACTTTGCACAAAGCTCTTGACTTCCGTCTAATAAACCAAATAAGATTAGTGGAGAAAGTGGAAGGAAGTCCCCGGAGGGCAAGTTATTTTCTCTCTTTGAATCAGATCAAAGGAAACTTCAGAGGTTCACTTAGAGCGAAATGCCAGTGTGTGTCCTTAAAATCTGCATGCAAGGGTGTTTTCAGGTCACAGAGCAAGAGATCCGAGATGTCAAGATGAGTGATTTTATGAACCGTGATTTAGCTTGGACACAGACCTTTATTAGGATGAGTAGTTCTGTAGCAAGCCGTAGGTGTTGGAAGCTTTGGTTAATAGATTTAGAAATATGGAGGGTTGTTGATTCTAGTTTGTGTATTTTTTTTACAAATTAATATTGTTATATATTGTACACAGAATTGAGGATGATCAAAATGTGTTGCAGGTTGGTCTGCTATAATAATCAACATATATATTATGTGTTGAAAATGTTATTTGAAGACCATTTGTATCGTTGACACATAAGAGTTGGCATACTTAATGAATCACTATATTTTCTGGATATAGTCTTCCTTAATGTCCAGAATATAAAAATACAATATAACATTTTTTTTTAAAGTCATGTAGTCAGTCTAGCAGACTTTGTTAAAATACATAGCAATTCATGCCTAGATACTGTCTCTACACTTTATACTTTTTTAACACTTGCCTTCTTTTTCATTTGTTCACAAAACGGGATGCACAAACTTAGTTTCAAAAATCTGTCCAAATCAATTTAACAAGCTATTGTAGTGCCGAGAGATATGGAGTCAGAGGCGGTGCAAGGAAGGTGCAAGAATAGTGATTTATTCACAAGCTGCAAAGGACATGTTGTCGGGTCGCAGCCCGGGTCGACAAGAAAGAGCCAAGAGGGTACACACTATTTATAGGTAACCCATAACATGTCCGTGTGGGAACAATAACCGCAACTGTAGTTCCAAGTTTGAATTATGTCCCAGTGGTTAAATAGGTGGTCACCACACAAGCCCCCCCAGAATTCAAACATGGCAAAAAAATATATATCCCCACGTCCGTGGAGGAAGCACCACAAGGGCCGAGGAGGGTGGGGCCGCAGGTGAGGACCGGGCCATGGAACGGGCCACGAAAGGGGGCCGCAGGAGAGGGCAGGGGCCCTAACGAGGGCGAGGGCACCCACACCGGGGGCGGGCCGTCGTAAGGGGGCCGCAGTAGGTGTCGCGGAGAACCCAGCAGGAAAGAGCGCAACCCGGCCGCAGGCAGACGCACAACGGCGGCGGGCACGAAGTCCTCGGCAGGCGTCGAGGTATCCCCGGAAGAGAGGAGCAGTCCCCCCGGGAGGAAGGAGCGCAACCCGGCCGCAGGCAGAGGTGCAAGGGCGGCGGGCACGAAGTCCTCGGCAGGTGTCGAGGTATCCCCAGGAAGCAGGAGAGCAACCCGGCCGCAGGCAGACGTGCCGCGGCGGCGGGCATGAAGTCCTCAGCAGATGTCGAGGTATCCCCGGGAAGCAGGAGAGCAACCCGGCCGCAGGCAGACGTGCCGCGGCGGCGGGCATGAAGTCCTCAGCAGGCGCTGAGGCCTCCCCGGGAAGCAGGAGAGGCCAGACAGGGTCCCGGAGCGCGCCACCCATGGGCCGATGGAGCATGGGCGACGTCCAAAACCGTCGAGGCGAGGTCCAGGAGTGCACCACCCAGGCGTAGATGAAAACGTATTCTGGATTGTGGATGTTAACATGTAATCTCTTTGCGTCTATACTACTGGCCATACGGTAGTCTAGGTTGCCCTCTTGAGGCTGTGAAACGCATGCGCAGTTAGTCTGTGTCGACCTGGAGCATGAGGTCCACTGTTCGTTAATGGCTCAGTATTGGTGTTATGCACGTTGATTGAATAAACCAAGTTAACAGAAGATAAACGTCGTGTTTATTTGTAGTAGACTAACATTGGTAGCAGAGGATGGTTAGCAGAAGATGGCTACTGCTAACTACAAAGTTCCACCGAAGTTCGACGAATCCCGACCATACGAGTGTTGGAAAAATGAAATCGCCATTTGGAAGCTGGTTACTGAACTTGATAAGAAGAAACAAGCCCTCGCCGTTGTCCTGGGGCTGGAAGGAAGGGCAAGGGACATCGCCATGGAAATACCCGCTTTGGATTTGAACAACAACAATGGTATGGACACACTGCTAGCAAAACTAGATGGCATGTTTCTCAAAGAAGAGAGAGACCGCGCATACGATGCTTACTCTTTTTTTAACTGTATCAAAAAGGAGAGCTCGGTGTCCATGGCGGACTATGTGATTGACTTTGAACAGCGATACAACCGAATGAAAAAGTACGACATGTCTCTTCCTGACGCCGTGCTAGCTTTTAAACTTTTGGACACGGCTTGTCTAGACGAGAAAAATAGACAAATGAGGCTGACTGCGTGTACAGATTTAACGTTTGCTGCAATGAAGTCCGCGCTGAAGAGGATCTTTGGGGGGAGAGTGCAAGGCGGCACATCAAACGGAATACACGTTAACGATGAAGCGTTATTCACAGAGCAACGCTCACAAGGAAGATTTAGACGTCCAACAACGCAGCAGTTTGGACAAGTTGGACAACAAAGGCAACCGTCACAGGGATACCCTGATAACCCACTGGATAGGTTCGGTAAGAGATCAAAATGTGCTATATGTCAGAGCACGTTCCATTGGGCTAAAGACTGTCCTCACAAGAGTAGCGAACAAGTAAAGCTAACTGAAGATCGAACAAAGGTAGAGGAATGTGACATTACACTGTTTACTAAAGCCTCACTGTCTGAATCAGAGGTATTCCTAACTGAGTCTTTAGGGACGGCTATCATTGACACTGCATGTACCCGCACATTGTGTGGAGAAAAATGGTTGGACAGCTTCGTCGCTGATCTCAGTCAAAGTCAAGTGAACCAGATTGTGAAAAGTGAAACTCCAAGCTCCAGACCATTCCGTTTTGGAGATGGAAATATAGTGCATTCCTCCAGAATACTGAAACTGCCTGCCAAAATAGGACAGACAAAATGTCGAGTGGAAACTGAAGTAGTCAAAGCTGATATCCCACTACTTCTGAGTAAGACTTCACTGAAAAGGGCAGGAACCATCTTGGACATGGAGAATGATAGAGCTGTGATGTTTAAACAGAATATCCCTCTTGAACTCACCAGTTCAGGGGCCTTATTTATAAAGGGATATACGCTAAAAAAATGGCGTACGCCAGTTTCTACGCAATGTTTGCGATTTATAAAATACTAACTTGACGGGAAAACGTGCGGTCCTCCACGCAAACTCTAACCCATGCGTACGCACTAAGCACAAAAACGGGAGAGACGAGAAACTGCGACACCGCGTTGGCAGAAGGAAGAATGGAGAGAAATATGTGGAAATAATACCATAAACAAAATGTTACCTCTCATTTATCATATTGTAGCAGGATAGACTGTTCAGCCCTATCACCACACGGGGCAACCTTTATAAAGAGGGGTCAGTGTCGCTCTTGCTCCCTCTTGCTCTTGGGCACGAAGGCCACTTCCGGGTTCCGCTGACGTGCTTTCTCCGCTGGCACCGGTGAGTTTACAGTGGCTGCCGTTTGTTGTACACCTAAGAGGCTTCTCAATACTCAAATTTCCCCTCCTCGACTGCTCGACTCCTCGGTTCTCCGGTAGTGACCCGGAAATGAATTTCAGCGCGCCATTTTGAAGGACGTCTCATTTCTCTAAACGCACACCGAGGACCGAGCATCGAGCGTCGAGGAGGCTCTCTGGAGGAGCTATAACCGAGGATACACTGATGGTTCCTCCACGGCTCCTCCACGGATGCATTTCCGGGAACGGTGGAGGCGTGACGCACGGCCGGACTTATCTCAGCCAATGACAGCTCTGCATGCATCCCCTGGATATTATTTTAGAAACTGCTTTCATCGCATCGCGATGTTTCCAGAGAGAACAGCTGTAAGGTCCAGCAGTGCAGTGTGTATAATATATATCACTCAGTATAACAGGCCTACTCTCTTTATTTGCTTTAGTTTAGTAGATATCTACAAACAAAAGAGGCTTCTCAATACTCAAATTTCCCCTCCTCGACTCCTCGGTCCTCGGTCCTCCGGTAGTGACCCGGAAATGAATTTCAGCGCGCCATTTTGAAGGACGTCTCATTTCTCTAAATGCACACCGAGGATCGAGCGTCGAGGAGGCTCTCTGGAGGAGCTATAACCGAGGATACACTGATGGTTCCTCCACGGCTCCTGCGCGGATGCATTTCCGGGAACGGTGGAGGCGTGACGCACGGCCGGATTTATCTCAGCCAATGACAGCTCTGCATGCATCCTCTGGATATTATTTTAGAAACTGCTTTCATCGCGTTGCGATGTTTACAGTGAGAACAGCTGTGAGGTCCGTGCAGAAAGCAGAGCAGTGTACAATATCACTCAGTATAACAGGCCTACATTACTCTCTTTATTTGCTGTAGTACAAAGACCATTTAGTGCGTCACATAATAAAATACACAACAGCTGTAGCCTGATTATGCTTTAGGAGCTGTAAGTGTGTGTTGTAGGCAGTGTGTATGTGTGTGTGTGGTACAGTATGTAGGTGTGTGTTGTACAGTGCGTAGATGCGGCGGACAGACGGGTCTCAGTTGGTTTGGTGTCCTTACTTTTAATTTAATTTCAAATCTTTATTTATACAGATAAATCTCATTGAGATCATTGATCTCTTTTTCAAGGGAGACCTGCTCAAGTAGTTCCACATGAAACATAAAAAC